AAGTGCTCAAACGGAAACTAGCATTCACACACATTCATACACTGGGGGAACAGCCGCCGGGGGCAATTCGGGGTTCAGTATCTTGCCCAAGGACACTTCGACACGCAACCAGGGGGAGCCGGGGATTGAACCGCCGACTTTCCAATTAATAAAAATATTTCCACCATAAAGTGATGCAGAAACGTTCACCAGAATGCAGGAAATGAAGTGTTTAAAGAAATTTCCATTCTTTATGTTACGTTATGTTATGTTAATAAGGTAAGCAGAGAGTTGTAAAAAATCTTGAATGTTCTCCACTTGTTATCCTGTAGTTACACAGTAATATTAGGACTGTGGGCTGTGTTAAAATACCCACTGTTCTCCTGTACTCACACAGTAACAACAAGCTCTGTGCTGTTCCCCCAATTCTCACTCTGTAACACATAAACAATAAAGCATGTAACGGGAAATATAAAACATATATTCTATTGTTTTGGGTTTATTTTTTTTATGTTGCTTTTCCTCTTCTTCTCCTTCTTCTTCTTTTTATCCTCCCCTGACCAAGATGCCAGGGATGGCCACATCATGCTACCTCCTCTTTCTTCTGTGGTTTCTGGCAATGAAAAAAAAACAACACATAAAATAATTGTCACTGGTTAAGTGGAGTAAAGTTAACTTTAAATTGACTCCACCACCACACATAAAACACGGCTTAATAACAATCACATTTAACATAACCATAAAATTCGACTTAATAATAACTATCAAGATTTAGGATTTTTTTTACAGTCAGAGTTATTAGCTTAGCCTCTGGCATTTTACGGAGCATAAATTAGCCTAGCGGCTAGCAGACTTTTCCTCTCCTCATAGCTTAACGAATTACATGTAGTATTTATACTGAGTCTTACCCACCGCTGGTAAAGTTGCTGCATCTCCCGACACGACACCACGGTTGAATTTTCAGCCTGAATGTCATTTTGTACAGCAGCTGATCGTAGCTGATCAGCCGTTTTCAGGTGGCAGAAGCGTAGCTCAGCTGCTGGGCGCATGACGTAAACACGTTAGTGCGAGTCCTCCCGGAACCCGTAGAGATCGCATTTCAGTGGCCGCAGCTCGAGAAAAACTGCCTTTACATGAAAGTCTATGAGAGAGATCTGGATGGATTACAACCTGTCTGAAATCGCCCCAAAAGAGGCGGGACTCCATGGAACATGACTGGACAACGATATTCAGAGACAAACACAAAAACACAGCTACCTAACAGTGTTGAAGAAAGTGTGAGAAAAATCCCCTGCCTTTTCCGGCTTGGCGGTGCGTCGCCCCATCGCCATAGTGAACAAACCGCCCCTGGACAGATGTATCATGTACAGACCTACAAAAGACCAATGACTTAAAGCCAATAGGAAGTTGTCCATTTTGAATTTAATGATCATTTTTGGTGATTTACACACTTCCAAATACGATGGATTGAACCACTGATGAATAAAGGTTGTACAATCTGAGTTTTCGACAAAGGGCGGGTCCATGGCACGGTGACGAAAATTGACGTACTGGGCAGTAACATCTAATAACTGGGTGCTCTCTAGTGCCACTTGGCACACAATGGACACAGGAAGTGATGTTCAAGTCCTTCGTACATCTGCCGCAGCACACAATACATTCCACGTGTGGGGACCCGTCCAACGCCGCTTGCAACTTTATTATCAAGTCCTGATGATCTCTAAAAAACAAATGTGTGAGAACTCCGCTGTTCTGAAGCTAAGACTCTTCTAAAGATTTTTAACCCTCTATTCCCTAATTGAAACTAAATTGGTTGCTAAAAAAAGATATATCTTCTTGCTTGTTTTGTACGACACAATAAAAATACAAACACTTTGTGAATAAAAATATAATCTAATGGAATATAACATTAATATAGACAAACATAACTTTTTATTGGTCAGGGATTTATCTTTCAAAAAACAGATGCAGATCTCTGTGACTCCACAAACTGTTTTGCAGTTTATCACTACCACATTAAATTTAAGACCACCCGAACAACTTGCATAATAAATCATACCTCTTCTTCAACACTAACACGTGACATTCATTTAAAATACTATACTAATTTCATATTAACGTGTTACTAAAACACAGTATGTCTTACTAGTGCTGGGCAACAATTAAAAATTTTAATCGCAGTTAATCTCATAGTTATGCGCAAAATTGAATAATGTGGTTTGCAAACACTTTAAACAAATAAGGAGCTTTTTCCTTTTTCCCTTTACACAGCAGCACTGAAATATTTCTTGTAAATCTCAACTTAAACATTAATGTGATCAAATCAAATATTAAACCAAAGCTATTTGCCACTGCCAGGGCGTTACCGTTTATCTAGAGTCCAGAGTAGTCATGGGAAAAGTCTCTATTTTGAAAGACGAGTCACCAAATCTCGTTCATAAAAATTAACTAATCTTTTTTTGTGTCATTTCGTTCATTAACTAGGCTGGTTATTGCGTTCTCAAACACAGAAGGCTGCCTGGTTTGCTCCAATTTACAAAGTATAATGCACAAATTCACCTCTTGATCTTTCTCTATCATGGTTCTATAAAGCCCCGTGGAGCCACAACCAAATTCAAACCATGGAAAAACCAAAGAAATATGTTGTCAATATTCAATTAAGCCACTACTCTGGCTGAATCCGTCCATTTTCACAATATTTCCTGAGTATACTACCAGCCCAGCCATATATATATATATATATAATTATAATTACTATCACTATATCTCTAAAGTGCTCATTCATACAGCAGCCTAACGCCTATCCATGAGTAAAATCTATATATTAACATCAGATTTACAGGGAATATATTAATAAGCTTGACACACTAGATGAATAAAACACACTCTTATTAAAATTTAACATATTTAATAATAATCTCAAACACTGCAGGTTGTTCACCAGTGAGGAGCTGTGAAACAACAGCACGGCTCTGCAGATGAATAAAAAGGAACGTGTGTTCTCTGGCGGACCCGGATAAGCTGTTAGCTGTAAACACATTCACAGGGCTAACGCTAACGTTGCTGCGTGGCTGTGTTTTAATGTTTTAATGACCGGGTCTGTTTATTTTGGAGAGGAGACGACCTCGGAGGTAATTCAGGTCCAGGTAGAACCCTGTCAGGGCTCTGAAGTGGACCCAGAACAACTCTCATCAGCTGTTAGCTGTAAACACATTCACAGGGCTAATGCTAACGTTGCTGCGTGGCTGTGTTTTAATGTTTTAATGACCGGGTCTGTTTATTTTGGAGAGGAGACGACCTCGGAGGTAATTCAGGTCCAGGTAGAACCCTGTCAGGGCTCTGAAGTGGACCCAGAACAACTCTCATCAGCTGTTAGCTGTAAACACATTCACAGGGCTAATGCTAACGTTGCTGCGTGGCTGTGTTTTAATGTTTTAATGACCGGGTCTGTTTATTTTGGAGAGGAGACGACCTCGGAGGTAATTCGGGTCCAGGTAGAACCCTGTCAGGGCTCTGAAGTGGACCCAGAACAACTCTCATCAGCTGTTAGCTGTAAACACATTCACAGGGCTAATGCTAACGTTGCTGCGTGGCTGTGTTTTAATGTTTTAATGACCGGGTCTGTTTATTTGGAGAGGAGACGACCTCGGAGGTAATTCGGGTCCAGGTAGAACCCTGTCAGGGCTCTGAAGTGGACCCAGAACAACTCTCATCAGCTGTTAGCTGTAAACACTAGCAGGACTAAAGTTACGGTGCGTCTGTGTTAAAACTATAACTTAGTACAACATAACTGCGCTGTAATAACGGTATGCTTTATTAAATGTCACAAAATTATCAAAATAGATATTAGATATATGTCGGTCCAGTGACTGTTACCTGACAACAGACGTGCCTCTCATTCCCCGGTGCTGGCAGGAAGTCAGCCTGCCGAGTGAAGACAGACTCTGAGGAGGACCCATGTGAGCGCTGAACGATTAGTTCATTCCTGCTCCACAGTAGCCGAGATGTCACGTGAAAAATGAACGACTCAAACCCAGAGACCCACAGTTATGAGTCCTGAACTAATCAATTCTGTTTCCTGTGACCATGCAGCTGCCATGTGACGAGTGAACGTAAGAGTCCAAGACTATTCACACATGTGTGAAAATGAACGAATTACTCACTGAGACAACCCGTTCCTCCTGAGTCACATACAAGATTAGGTCAAATGAACGAAATGTTCTTTGAACAACACAACACTAGTCCAGAGCCACGATCAGAACATCAGAACAGGCTCTTTCTGAGCAGCAGGGGAACATTTGCAGGCTGATCAACATCCCCCCTGTGTGCCCCAGGGTTTGACTGTATTCAGAGCCAATGAGCAACGGACTTTCAAAATAATAATAATTTTTTTTAAAACTGCATTCATGAGAGATTAAATGATTGTAGGCTTTAATTAATGAATGCATTTTAATGCCCGATTTCTTAGATAAACCTTATGTACACCAACACAAAAAACTTAAGACTGACTAAGAACAGTTATTATGCAACAAAAAGAAAAGGCATCCCTCAGGGTTCGATTCTGGGCCCAGTTTTGTTCACGTGAACTAAATTGAGGTCTCGGCCTGTTTTATTTAAAGTATTGTTTTAACACTGCCATCAGCTGTTACTGAGTGCCTCTCTGCTCTCCTGACAGTGTGGACTGGACAACGCTTCAGATAGTGAATTAGCAGAGGTGAAGAGGAGTTTCCTGACCAGCAACAGTGTAAAACCGGTCGGAGTCGGTCCACTTGCTGTTTCTTCGGGGCAGCAATACAGTCGCGTGGCTGCCATGAGGACTCAGGCAGCCGACGGAAAACAGTATACGGTCCTTTTCCTTCTGACAGGTGAGATAAATTAAACATTAATGATCATGTTTGGAATGAAAACAGTTCTTACCTCCAGATAGCAGGCATGAAGTCTAGAGTCTGTATTAAACACTGTTCGTCATCTCTCTGTGTGACATCCAGAGTCCGGATTCCTCCACAAAGTGGTTTTGCTTAATCGGGGTGCACACATCATCGAGGAGATTCAGGTCTTCACACAACCTCAGCTGGTCAAAAACATCATCCTCTCCCCGTCCAAGGTAAACCTCACACCTTCAGGGTTATATTACAGTTCCTGCTGTGAGATGATTTAGAGTGTCAGAGACATTAATGTTCATACTATAACTATCATCCCTTTAAATCTGTGTTTACAGTGGCATTAGGCTGTTTTAGGTGATGTTGAAACTTGCTGAGCACGACTGATATAAGGCAATAATTGGGTTAAAGGATTATTGCATCAAAGGGTCAAAGAGCCTTGATTTATTGATATTTAATATCCTGGATTAAAAATAAAAACAGACTTCCCGGTCTATATTCATTAACAACTTAATAAAAACATGTTAACGTAAATAATTATGGTTAAAAATTAACACTGGGGAAAAATGCAATATGAAGAAAAATGGAAAAGCTCTTAAACAAAATTAAATTAGAACATAATAATAAATTGTTTTCATTTAAAAAATAAAAAAGCAGACAGTTAAACAATAGTTTAAACACTATTAAACTGCTTTTCCAGTCCTATATTGTGGTTCTGTGACGCCTGTATGGCATCTTTGCATGAATTAAGTTCAAAAAAAGAATTTTCTCTCTCTACTGTCTCTTCATGTAGGCCTTCATTTCAGCCTCTGTCTGAAACAAGCTGTAGATGCTCCTGTCTCTTTAAGGCCCCCCCCCTCTCAAAGCCCACTGTCTTCTGATTTGCCAAGACCTGAATGTTACCAGGCTGCTGTTGTTGCTGGGCGGAACAGGCAGACTGAGCGTTGCCGTGCCGTTAGTGTGGGAGCACATGACCATATATGGAACAGCAGCTCCGTCTGCTCAGTAATACATAAGCTGTGTCTCAATTCAGGGACCGCATCCTTCGAAGGCTGCATTTGAAGACCGAATACGTCACAGTCGGTGCGACTAGGCTGTCCCATTTCGAAGGCTCCTTCAAGTGCGGCCGACAAATGCAACCTTCTTTTCGTCCTTTTGGAGGATCCAACAGCTGGATCCTTCGCAGCCCCAGGTGTCCCGACATTCATTGCACGTCGGCTGTGGCTGTGGAGTTGAGCCCCCCGGATTTTACCTATAAATGTAAGTATTGCATTTCAACTCACTTCAAAAGCCAACTACACAAATGTAAAAATAACAAGAGGCATAAAAGCGCAATGTGTCGTTTAAAGAATAGTTTTGTGGAAGAAGTTAACGTGAGTTAAGTGATTAACTGGCGAGCTAACGTTAAGTTAACGTTACCTGAGGTTACTGATGTGCTAACGTTAACGTTAAATGCAAATCGTTTGGGCAAGTTACAACCTAAAAAATAAAGCCTTTAACGTCTTCACTTTAAATCGAAGAGGTTCAGAGTCAGACCTGCGTCTTACCGAGATTGTCGCGATATTATACATCACTTATTCTTAATATTATGTACATGAAAATAACGTGACCATGTAACGTTAGACTAATTTAACGTTAGACGGGTTATAAACCCTGCTTGGTTTTCACACCGTTAACGTTAGTAACGGTTACAAAAACCTTGGGATATAGTACACGGTTAATGTAACTAGGTTATTTTGCGATTTATGCTGCTTACTGTTTGGTGATGTGAAGCATAAAACTTGTCGTTTTGTTTTAGGGAGCAAGGAGCAAACTGTCCTCTTTATTAAAATGAGGGGGGAGAGCGACCACCTCTTCACCGGGGCAAAATTTTCTGCCAACATGGCTTGGAGGTAATTAAAGTATCAATAGCCCTTTTGTAATATCTGCATTTAATCATCGTGTACTTAAAATTACAGTTAAATGAACCGCCATCAAATTCAAAGCCTTTAACAATAAGACAACCAGTAAATGGGGCAGCCCTTTGTTGTGTCTTCACACAATTACCATGAACTGCAATTTCCCCACTGTGGGACAAATAATGTTTTTTCTTATCTTATCTTTCTTATTTCTTTTGTTTCTCTGTGATTAGGACAATTTTGGAGAAAATGGGCCTGTGGGGGAAGGTGACTTCCTCCAAGCGAAAAAAAAGTGGGACAATTAAAAAAAATAAAAAATACAAAGTATGTATGTATGATTTGAAATTGATATATTCTGTATACATTTTTGCATAAATCGTTCACTGTGCAGCATAAAGGGAAATATAAACCGCATTCATCTTACAACCCTGTTTTAATATAATACATACATTTACCTTGTACGTTGTATATTCATGCACGTTAATAAACACAGTTGCTAAAATTTGTTTTTCTGCTGTTGTTATTTACCATGATTGATTTCCTGTGCCTTAGGATTGCAAGTGTCCAGGGTCAGGAGAGGGTGTAGGGGGGAAGCCCACTGCTGCAACTTGGCCCTGGTTTGTCCTCATGGATGAGGTGTTGGGACAGAGGTATTCCACCACCCCACCTGTCGCAATTGCCTCTATCCCTGAAGACACACCAGGGCCAAGTGCTGCAGTGGGTGACCAGGAGGAGGAGGAGGAGAGCCAGCCAAGAAAGAGAAAGAGGGACAGAGAGGATGAGCTGCTTCAGCCACTGAAGGAAGACATGAAGTTGCAGAGAGAGGCAGAGAGAGGATGGACAGGCTGTTCTCTCTACTAGAGAGACTGGCCGAAAAATAAATAAATCCTTAAATAATATATATAATATTTATTAATCATTCAAATAAAATATTTTTTAAATAACTGATTTTCTTTTCTTTTAAACTATTAGTATTTACAACGTATTTACAACATTTATTTCACTGAGCAGTGAGACCCTGGTGATGCTGCTGGACCTGGATGGGCTGACCCTGGTCAGCAGGACATCATCTGGGGTGGTCTCCAGAGTGTGTTGCAGGTGTGGATGCATCTCTCCACTGTCCACCGCATCGTCCATCAGTGGGTTTGCAGGGCTGGTTCAATCGACGGCTGCCATGTCACTTAGATGTTTTAGTAAGAGGCAAGAATAATAGGCAGTGCACACAAAATACTAATTCACAATCTTATTTTGACAAAATAAATCTACAAAATATTTCAACAGGCAAAATTGTTAGGATATGAATAGGAATTTATCGATCTTTTACTTGCCTGTTAAAAATATTGGTGGTCAGGGGGCACCTCCTCCAGGGCAGACACCTCTGCAGACAGCTGGTCACGCCAGGAAACACCGCTGACCGTCTCCAAACCGTCTCCCCCTCATCCTCTGGGGCCACAATGTCACCAGCACCAAGGCAGATGTTGTGGAGGATGGCACATGCTGTTATGACCTGAAATGGTTAAAAATATATTTCAGTCTGGAAAAAAAAAACATTTATGCTTTTTGATGAATCTGTCTGTTGATTTTCTCATTAGTACAGTAAAGAAAATACTCACGTGAGGTACAAAGGTGTGGTGCACCTCCAGCGCTTGCAGGAAGATGGCCCGGAACCTGGTCTTCATCATCCCAAAAGCACGCTCTATAATGGAGCGTGCCCTGGAGTGATGGCTGTTGAAGCGCTGGGCTCCCACACCTTGTGTTGGCCTCTTGTAGGGAGTGATGAGGGGGAGTGGGTGTTGGAGGCACAGGTACCCTCTGTCTGCAAGGATGAAATGTAGCGGAGCACTCTGGAGTCGTGGACCGACCCAGGCCGGCCCACATAGGTGTCAATGAAGTGGCCCTGATGGTCACAGACAGCCTGCAGGATGATGGATGGAAACAGTTTCCTGTTCCTGTAGCACTGACCATCAGGGCCACTCGGTGGCTTGATGCGGACATGGCAGCCGTCGATTGCTCCAGCTGCTTTAAAAAAAAAGGCTCTGTGTCTTGCAAGCCCTGCAAACCCACGGGATATCGGTTGTAACTCATCCTGGGTCTTCGGTAGGTGGATGACCTTGTGGCAAATGGCCACCACTTCCTCAGTGACTCTGTGGAGGATGCGGTGGAAAGTGGATCGAGGCATTGCAAACACTCTGGAGACCACCCTGCATGATGCCCCGCTTGCCAGCCAGAAGAGAAACACCAGGGTCTCAATCGTGGCACCCCATCTGTGTCTCAGTTCCTGGTTTAGGAGGCCCAGTAGCACTCCCAGGGCCTCCCTGCTCAACCGGAAATCCGGCCGTGTGTCCTGCAGGTTAAAAAACCTGTCCAGCGCAGGAACTCTCAAATTTATCCTGCAGTACAGGGGCCGGGGCTGGTGTAGAGATACAAGGAGAAGAACAACTGTTATGAAGTGCAGAGAGCTTAGTTAGATAAGGCTTGTATATCTTTCTATTCAACTTGCTTTAGCTGATCAATGACAAAAACACTGTCAATATTTTAATATTTAAGGTTTTCTTTAAATATGAAAATTATGTTGTTAAAGTGAAATGGCAGTAGCAATAAACTACGTTAACTGAGGTTAACATCACTGTTAGCTTTAGGAAGCCTATAGTACCTAAATACATATAAAATGTAACGTTTCTTAGTTACTTTCCCCCGTATTTACCTGGCCAGGGTCCTCTCTCAGCCTGAGATACATCGGTGAAGTATCTCTAGTTTCTCTATTGAGAGGTAAAATATTAAAATTAAAATATTCGTCTCCATTGCCGGTGGACCGCAGCTGTGAAGGTTGCTAGGCGACAGGAGCGGCGACAACGGTCGGTTCGGCCTTTTGTGGCCGCATGCCTTCGTGCGCCTCGAAGGCCACGCCCTTCTAAGGATGCGGCCCCTGAATTGAGACACAGCTATAGAACAGAGCTGTTGGTGTAAAACCAGTTCAAAACAGAACACGAGGAAATCAGAGGTTTTTGCTCACTTATACTCTTCTTATAAATACTTTAACCTCACTTTTTGAAGCTTTGGCCATGTTTAACATGAACATCCAACACTGTAACATTGTAGATAAGTCATAAAATGTGGAAAAGCTTAATAGGTCTGCTTTAAATACATTTAAACATTAAATGCAAAGCTTCCTCTCTAAGTTTCAGTGGCATGTTTTAGCTTGTGGCTCAGTGGTTAGCACTGTTCACCTATCCAATCCAATCCAATCCATTTTATTGATATAGCACATTTTAAAAAACAAAGGTTTACAAAGTGCTGAACAAGAAATAAAACATAAAAACACATAGAAACACATAAAACAACAAGAATACACAGCTCTCATGCTGGGTTAAAAGCCAGGGAATACAAGTGGATTTTAAGACGGGATTTAAAACATTCGAGGGTGGGGGGCCAATGTGACCTGTGGAGGTAGCTCATTCCACAGTTTAGGGGCTGCTGCTGAAAAAGCATGGTTGCCCCTGGGTTTTAACCTGGTTTTTGGAGCGACCAGCCAAAGTTGGTCAGTAGACCTAAGTGACCGTGGGGGGGTGTAGACTTGTAAGAGGTCTGAGATGTAGTGAGGTGCCAACACATTCAGTGACTTAAAAACAAACAATAAGATCTTAAAATGTATTCTAAAATGGACCGGGAGCCAGTGGAGCGAGGCCAGCACTGGTGTAATGTGTTCATGCTTTCGAGTTCCGGTTAAATGACGAGCGGCCGAGTTTTGTACTAACTGTAAGCATGAGAGAGAGATTTGGTTAACGCCAATGTAAAGTGCATTATATATATTGTGCATTACATACAGTTGTCCAGACGAGTTGACATAAAAGCATGAATCACATGTTCAAAGTGCTTATGTAATAAAACAATTGATTTAACAACATTATTTATCTGTTTATCAAGTTTAAAACCATTGTCTGTTTTCACACCCAGATTTGTCACTACGGGTTTTGCACATTGTTGCAGGTAGACCAGGTCAGCAGAAATCACTAGCCCAACTGGGTCCAAACAAAATGACCTCAGTTTTATCTTCATTTAGATGTAAAAAGTTAGAAGCCATCCAGGCCTTAATATCTTTTAAACACTCACAGAGGAGTTTTCACCTCTTTTGAGGGGTAGATATATTTGGGAGTTGTCCGCATAGAAGTGGTAGGACATGCCATGCTTTTTAATTATGCTTCCCAGGGGGAGGAGATATAGGGAAAAGAGAAGTGGTCCAAGAATTGAAGTGGTCCACCTGGGTGCAGCAATTTCCTCCACCAATGTCACACTGCTGTCAGTAGGAGTTTTAACATAGAGATCAAACCAAACACACAATCATTGTAGTTATCTGCATCGGTCCAGATAAAAATTGACTTGAAACCTGAAAAGATGCCACAGCTTTGTTGGTAAAGCATAAGTGACGTGAAAAGCTAGTAGAGATCCGCCTGGTGTAAGAAAATGACTCCTGAATCCAAAATTTGGGGAAAAGAGAATTACAATGATCTAAATCTAGCAATGTTCCTACGTGGCAGAAAATGGTTTACTCAGCCGAGCCTTGAGTATAGTTTCTATCTTCAGTGCTAGTTTAGTATTTGTTGTTTCCTCACGCAGTTTTAAGTTTTAAGTTTTTACCCCCACACATCCATCAATATCAGAGACAGGAGATCCCTGAGACCAACAGACCTATACAACACAGTGTCATCTGCATACTGACGGAAGGTGATAAAATAATAAAAGTAATGTCACATCATGTTACAAATCGTGAGTAAAGAAAAATGTGTCAAAAAAAGTCTCCCTACCAATTATGAAGGAGCTGAATGATGACCTGAAGGCTGCTTTGATGGACCAGGTGAGCTTGGTTTGGGCCGAGTAAAAGCTTTTAAGGTGGCTGATGAATATTTGACATGTAGATTACAGAACACACGTCACAGTGTTTTCTGTGTCCTGTAGGGAGTTCTGTACGTGGGGACATCGGAGGGGGTGACTGCTGTTCCTGTTGCCAGGTGCTCGATCTACAGATCCTGCAGCCAGTGTGTTCTGGCCAGAGATCCTCTGTGTGGATGGAGTCGGACCAGCAGGGTCTGCACGGGTCTGGACAGTCATGAGAACATGCAAGTGAAAGTTGCCTTTATTACTCTGTAAACATATTCAGAGATTGTTTAGCCTCAGAATCAGTTGTCAAGAATCAATTTCCTTCTACTATAACTACTGAGGGCCCTGAGGTCCACTCATCTGTGTTTGGGGGAATGAGGGAGTTTTTCTTGCCATGTATATCTTTCAATTACAAGGAAATACTCTAATCAAAAGTATTATTGCATTTTGCACGAGTATATGAGATCATGTGGTGTATGTGGTCTTTCTATAATCATACATTCTATTTTTGGGGTAGCTGAAGGAAAATGAAAGGAAGGATGGAAAGAGTCCGTGGCTGGATAGCATCACAGGAAGACTGCTTAGGTGCTGTTCAGATGGCTCTGTGAGGTGTTATATTTAAGATGTCCTTGGAACAGCATAGGGTACCAAAGTTATGAAGGGAGTCCACTGTTGTTTCGGTCATAAAGAGTGGAAACACAAAAGAGCTAAATGACGTAAGACCAGTGGCACTGACATCACTGGTCATGAAGTCATTTGAAAGGCTAGTTAAAGGGAAACTGTTGGGTATGGTGGAGGAGGCTCTGGATGAAAATGCCACAAAGACCAATATGGTCATTGATTTTAGAAGGTAAATCTTCCAAACCACCATCTCAGAGCTTCTTTAAAGGATTTGGCATTGGATTTGTAGAACAGTATAAATATCTCGGAACAGTCATTGATAATGACCTGAAATCTGAAGTCAATTCTGATGCAATCTGTTCGCAGGGTTAGCAACGTTTGTACGACATTAGGTAGTTAAATGTTTTTAATGTTGACAAGACAATTATGTGTTTGTCTTTTATTGAATCTGTTACTTACCTTTATGATTGCATGGCATGGTAACCTAAACATCAGGGACAAAAACCACCTAAACAACATTATGAAAGTGGCTGGTGAGGTTATAAGTGTCTCACAAATTCCCCTGACTGCTATCTTTGCCCAGCAGGTTCTCTCACGTCCACGACTATAATAGACTGTTAAAACCTCTTCATTCTGAGTTTGTAACTCTTCCCTCAGGTCGTAGATTTAGAGTTCCACGATTCAAGTGAAATAGGAGCAAAAACTCATATGTTCCCTGTGCAATAACCCGGCTAAATCGTCTCAGGTAACCTCAATTGTTGAAATTGTTTTATGTTATTATAGTGTTTTTAGTGTACTGTGTGTACTGGTCACAGTTTAATTTTGTACTTGTGTTGTTTATCTGATCCTTGTTTTTTCTTCTGCCTGACTGCCAGTCAGGTTTTCCACTTGGGATAATAAATGAACTGACAGGTCACAATTGACATATTTATTTAAAAAATATTCTCGAAGTCTACTAACTTAACCGTCAGCTTTTTAAGTACTTAAAGTACTTAAAGTAGTAGTTAATTTAGGAGCACAATAAGTCATGAAAGACAGATTTTGACATGGATGAAAGAAAGCTTTTGTTTTTAATGTGGTCTAATATGCACACTGACCTATTCTTATCGATCTTGAATTTAGAGATCTGTTTAAAATATGTTTAGGTGCAGCAGAGCAGCTAGTGTATTATCTTGAGTCATTGTAATAAATAAAAAGCTCCATCAGCCCTGTCCAATGACTGACAGGCTGTCGGTTTACACCTCAGGGTTCAAGATCTGGAGGATGGCAACGTGGAAGAGGAATGTCTGATTCAAACCCGGGTCAGCCTGGACACAGGTAACATCTTCCTTAGTATGTAGTATGTATGAACATGTATACAAGGCAGCTTTATTTGTCATATTACAACAGGTTGTAAAGTGAAATTTAGTTTGTCCTTTCTGCATCGTAGCAGACAATATACATCGATATACATTGTAAGCAGAAACTTCTCTCTTCACAGAAATATTTATCTTACTGTCAGAAGTTAATACCTACGGAAGTGCATTGCATTCACCAAAGAAATAAAAATTGGAAGCCTTATCTCATAATTACGAGATCAGGATCTCGTAATTGAGGCATTAGTTAGTAGTATAGTTAGTTTGAAAAAATTTACTTTGAGGTAATTTTGGGGGATTTTAATATTAAATAACTTCACTGTTATACAGATACCCAGCTAGACATTTTACTTTCCTAGAACATTTTGATAACTTTCCTGCTGGTGTCAAGGACATTGCCTTATAATGTTCCCTGATTGTTCCCAAACGGACACGATGTAAAGTTCTTTAAAGTGTTCGGGGACGTTATTTCGTTACGTAAGTGTTCAGGGGAAGTTTTGGTGGCACCTATTCTCAACATGAGACCATTGATGATTGGGGTGATTTTGGAGACACTACCCCAAAGTTATGCATTATTATCCATAAGTGCTGAAGTATCACAAGCAGGATATCAATGATTTGTGGGGTGATTTTTGAGACACTAAAACTCTTAAAAGTGAAGTTACGGAGGAGAAAACTTTTCCAAAATTATGCAAAACAATATTTCTACAAACTTAGTGTTGTAGTATCATCAACATGTGATCACTGATACCTGGGGTGATTTTTGAGACACTACAGCCTTTGACAGTGAAGTTATTGAATATTGAAAATAGACCTACCTAATATAAGGTATGCAAAAGTCTTTTTTACCCTATACAAAGTGTTGTAGTATAACCAGCAGTATATCATTAATGTGTAAGATGATTTTGGGGGCACTATATTGTGTAAGTGTGAAGTTATTGAAAATCTCTGCAGAATGTGTTTTCGGTGTTGCACTTTGTAGACGGTCCTTGCGCACTCGTCTCACAGCCGGCTGCACGTAGAGACCAATGTCATTTGTTCTGCTCCTAGGAAGACTCATTTATGTGAAAATGTACTTGTAGCTCATTGTCTACTTAACTACGATAATAAAGAGGCATTGTTTGTGTTTTAAACACGTTTTGCTTACGAGTTATTGATCCCGGAAGCTCAAATCTGTGAATCTATTTCCAACTTTACTGAACTCAGTACTAAATGGCACCTTTCCAGTCATCTCTAATTACGAGATCTTTTCTCATAATTACGAGATCCGGATCTCATAATTACGAGATCTCGTAATTATGACATCTTTTCTCGTAATTATGACATCTTTTCTCGTAATCATGAGATAAGGTTTCCAATTTTTTCTCTGGTGAGTGCAATGCGCTTCCGTAAATACCTGATCTGAAGTGTGTCTAACATTCTGCTGAATTGTTTTAACCCCTGTAGGGACAAAATCAGGGCTCCAGAAAAAGTAACGGTGGCAGTAAAACTGTTTTACTGCGATGGTTTAACTTTGCAATCAAACCGCGATTCACCTGCGTGCCAAACTGGCAGCGGGAGGGATCCGTCCGGATCAGGGATTCTGCGGACTTTTGCACCACTACTAACCCTGGTTTTAGAAAGGGGACTTAGTTATTGCATGTTTTTGTTGTGCATGATCACAGCCCCTATGTGTCAAATGAGAGTTCAAGACAGGCTATAAGAGTAAAAATATTGCTCAATTATGAGAAATAAGAAATAAAAGTAGCCTATTAAAATATTCCTGCATGACTTAAAATTTTTCAATACATCCCACCTATTTTTTTCACAATTTGCTCATGGATATGTTTACCACGTTTACCGTCTTAGTTTAGCGCGTTAGCATGCGAACATTAGCTAATTAGCAGTGAACACAGAGATGCAGCTGAGGCTGATGGGAATGTCATGAGGATCATCAAAGTTATTACAGTTCATGCTGAAGGTCTAAAACAACCTTTCACCACAACCCATCCAACAGTTGCTGGGTACATGAACGTTCGTATGAAGTTGAATGATAATGCTGCTGATAGTTGTTCAGATATTTTAGTCCAGACCAAGGTGGTAAACTGACCGACAGACTGATGTTGCCCTCCATAGAGCTGTGCTGCCAGCATAACTGAAACAGAGAGCCTTACTCAGCACCATCACCTCCTCTCACTTGTATTTACTCTGAAATGTTCTGTCCTGCAGAAGTCGGTGTTCATTTGAACGAAGCAGTGAGGCTTCAGTGTCAGAAGCCTTCCAACCTGGCCACTCTGACCTGGACATCCCCCCGATTCAGAAACCTGCCAGAGAAACTCTTCATCCTGTCAGCTGATGGCAGTTTGAGCTTCCTCGCCACCGCCGACACCTTCGGGATTTATCGCTGTGAAGCGGTGGAAGGCGGGTACAAAGAAGAAGTTGCAAGCTATGCTGTCCGACAGATTGCTTCTCCTCGCTCCATGAGCCCGAATCCAATAGCCGGTGAAAACCATGTGGCCAACAACATGTTATGGTTTTGGTTGTGGTACTTCATGTTTTAGTTCACATATCACTTTGTGTCTGGATATTTGTCGTTGATTATGTTTTGTCCCTTTATGCATTCATTCAGTGTTGTCTGTTATACTTTTTTGTCTTTTTTTGTGTGCCTTGGTCCCTATTTTGTTCTAAATATTTACTTCCTGTTTTTGTATTTACCTTGGTTTCATTGTTTGCACTTGACTCTTTTCCCTAATTGTGTCCTCCTGTGCCTCGTCTTGTCACCTCCCTTTTTTGCTAGTTTATGTTGTCGAGTGTCTCCTCTGTTTAAGGACTACCCTGTTGTAGTGTGGATTTCATATTTTTGTTCTTGCCTTTTCTTTTTGGACAATATTAAGGAATTTGTTTTGGTGACTTGATGCAAACTACTAATAAACATAAAATATTTAAATATAAAATTGACAACATAAAAAAGAGTAATGAAGATTAGCCTGGTCCCAAGCAGCTAAATAGCCTGGTCCAAAATAGTTTAAAAGCCTATTCCCGAGATGCTAAATAGCCTGGTTCAAAATAGCTTATTAGCCTGGTTCCAAGTAGCTTATAAGCCTGGTTCCAAGTAGCTTATAAGCCTGGTCCCAAGTAGCTAAATAGCCTGGTTCCAAATAGCTTATTAGCCTGGTTCCAAGTAGCTTAATAGCCTGGTCCCAAGTAGCTAAATAGCCTGGTCCAAAATAGCAAAATAGCCTGGTCCAAAATAGTTAAATAGCCTGGTTCCAAGTAGCTTATTAGCCTGGTTCCAAGTAGCTAAATAGCCTGGTCCCAAGTAGCTAAATAGCCTGGTCCCAAGTAGCTAAATAGCCTGGTCCCAAGTAGCTAAATAGCCTGGTCCAAAATAGTTTAATAGCCTTGTTCCAAGTAGCTTATTAGCCTGGTTCCAAGTAGCTTATTAGCCTGGTGCCAAGTACATTTACTTTTACATTTACTCATTTGGCAGACGTTTTTATCCAAAGCGACTTACATTTGAGGAACAACATACAAGCATCAACAGAGCATCAACTACAGATCTACAACTGACAAAACATACTATTAAGAGCTCACAGTACATATCACATCAATGGGGTAAATACCTAGGGAAGGAAGTAAGTGCAATCAATACAAGATCATTGTAGGGGATAGAAGAAGAGCACAGGAAATGCATGTTAGAGGTGTTATGAGAGGAAGTGTTGAGTTTTCAAGAGCTTCTTGAAGTTAGAGAGGGACGCCCCTGCTTGGATGGCGTGTGGTAGCTAAATAGCCTGGTCCAAAATAGTTTTATAGCCTGGTCCTGAGATGCTAAATAGCCTGGTTCAAAATAGCTTATTAGCCTGGTTCCAAGGTGCTTATTAGACTGGTTCCAAGTAGATTTTTAGCCTGGTTCCAAGTAGCTAAAAAGCCTGGTTCCAAGTAGCTAAATAGCCTGGTCCAAAATAGTTTAATAGCCTGGTCCCGAGATGCTAAATAGCCTGGTTCAAAATAGCTTATTAGCCTGGTTCCAAGGAGCTTATTAGACTGGTTCCAAGTAGCTTATAGGCCTGGTTCCAAGTAGATTTTTAGCCTGGTTCCAAGTAGCTAAAAAGCCTGGTTCCAAGTAGCTAAATAGCCTGGTCCCAAGTAGCTAAATAGCCTGGTCCAAAATAGTTTAATAGCCTGGTCCCAAGTAGCTAAATAGCCTGGTCCAAAATAGTTTAATAGCCTGGTCCCGAGATGCTAAATAGCCTGGTTCAAAATAGCTTATTAGCCTGGTTCCAAGGAGCTTATTAGACTGGTTCCAAGTAGCTTATAGGCCTGGTTCCAAGTAGCTAAAAAGCCTGGTTCCAAGTAGCTAAATAGCCTGGTCCCAAGTAGCTAAATAGCCTGGTCCAAAATAGTTTAATAGCCTGGTCCCAAGTAGCTAAATAGCCTGGTCCAAAATAGTTTAATAGCCTGGTCCCGAGATGCTAAATAGCCTGGTTCAAAATAGCTTATTAGCCTGGTTCCAAGGAGCTTATTAGACTGGTTCCAAGTAGCTTATAGGCCTGGTTCCAAGTAGATTTTTAGCCTGGTTCCAAGTAGCTAAAAAGCCTGGTTCCAAGTAGCTAAATAGCCTGGTCCCAAGTAGCTAAATAGCCTGGTCCAAAATAGCTTATTAGCCTGGTTCCATGTAGCTAAATAGCCTGGTTCCAAGTAGCTAAATAGCCTGGTCCAAAATAGCTTATTAGCCTGTTTCCATGTAGCTAAATAGCCTGGTCCCAAGTAGCTAAATAGCCTGGTCCAAAATAGCTTATTAGCCTGTTTCCATGTAGCTAAATAGCCTGGTCCCAAGTAGCTAAATAGCCTGGTCCAAAATAGCTTATTAGCCTGGTTCCATGTAGCTAAATAGCCTGGTCCCAAGTAGCTAAATAGCCTGGTCCAAAATAGCTTATTAGCCTGGTTCCATGTAGCTAAATAGCCTGGTCCCAAGTAGCTAAATAGCCTGGTCCAAAATAGCTTATTAGCCTGGTTCCAAGTAGCTAAATAGCCTGGTCCAAAATAGCTTATTAGCCTGGTTCCAAGTAGCTAAATAGCCTGGTCCAAAATAGCTTATTAGCCTGGTCTTAGCCTAGCTTTTAGAAATGACAGTAGCCATTTGATCATCTCCTTGCTTTTAAGTTGAGCATTACCGTCGAGTGTGAAGTTGTCTGGTTGAGCGGTTCTTGAGAAGGCGTTCTGAGCTGGCCCGTTTTGAACGAGCACTGCTCCAGTGGTGAAAACTAGTCCACGCTGTACCTCGTGATTCTCTTGTAGGTTCTACGTGCGTAGCTACGCCGTAGGCTACGTTTCAAATGTTACCGACCGAGCGGATCACATTCTGATCAGTCATTTTACGATACGATTCACCCCTATTGCGATTCAACACAATGTGATTAAATACGATACATACAGTGGGGGAAATAAGTATTTGACCCCTTGCTGATTTTGCAGGTTTGGCCACTTACAAAGAATGCAACAATCTACAATTTTAATCATATGTACATTCTAACATATGAATTTATAAAAATTGATAACCATCTGATGAGGAAAAACAAGTATATGACCCCCTACCAAACAGCAAGTATTCTGGCTCCTACAAGCCAGTTAGTCTTTCTTTAAGACACAGCCCCAATCCCAACCAATTATCTACATCAAATACACCTGCCTCACCTCGTTACCTGTATAAAAGACACCTGTCAACACCCAAACAACCAGCATCCAACATCACCACCATGGGCAAGACCAAAGAGCTTTCTACGGACATCAGGGACAAGATTGTTGATCTGCACAAGGCTGGGATGGGCTACAAGAGAATCGGAAAGCAACTTGGAGAGAAAAGATCAAGACTGTCGGTGCAGTTATCAGGAAATGGAAGAAGCACCACACCACCGCCAACCTCCCTCGGTCTGGGCCTCCACACAAGATCTCGCCTCGTGGGGTGTCCCTGATCATGCGAACGGTGAGGAATCATCCCAAAACCACAAGGGGGGAACTGATGAATCAACTGAAGGCAGCTGGGACCACAGTTACAAAAGAAACGGTTGATAACACACTACGCCGTCATGGATTGAAATCCTGCAGCGCACGCAAGGTCCCCCTGCTCAAGAAGAAACCTGTACAGGCCCGCATGAAGTTCGCCATTCACCACCTGGACGACTCAGAAGAGGCCTGGAAGAAGGTGATGTGGTCAGATGAGACCAAAATAGAACTTTTTGGCCTCAACTCAACTCGTCGTGTTTGGAGGGCAAAGAACACCGAGTACAACCCAAAGAACACCATCCCCACCGTCAAGCATGGTGGTGGCAACATCATGCTTTGGGGGTGCTTTTCAGCCAAGGGGACGGGACAACTCCATCGTATTGAGGGGAGGATGGACGGGGCCATGTATCGTGGAATTCTGGACCAACATCTCCTTCCCTCAGTGAGAGAGCTGAAGATGGGTCGAGGATGGGTGTTTCAGCACGACAACGACCCTAAGCACACCGCCAAAGCAACAAAAGAGTGGCTGAAGAAGAAGCACATCAAGGTTCTGGAGTGGCCTAGCCAGTCTCCAGACCTGAATCCAATTGAAAATCTTTGGAGGGAGCTTAAAATTCGAGTTGCCAGGCGACAACCTCGGAACCTGAATGATTTGGAGGCTGTCTGCAGAGAGGAGTGGGCCAACATCCCTGCCGAAATGTGCACAAACCTTGTCACCAACTATAAAAACCGTTTGACATCTGTGCTGGCCAATAATGGCTTTTCTACAAAATATTAACATGCTGTTTGTCCAGGGGGTCAAATACTTGGTTTTTCCTCATCAGATGGTTATCAATTTTAATAAATTCATATGATGTGATTTTCTGGAATTTTCTTTGGGATTCTGTCTTTCACTGTTAGAATGTACATATGATTAAAATTATAGATCGTTGCATTCTTTGTAAGTGGGCAAACCTGCAAAATCAGCAAGGGGTCAAATACTTATTTCCCTCCACTGTAAAAGAATAAGCATAAGTTGTGCAATTCAATATGTCACAGAAAGTTTGAATGTGATAAATTACTTTATGTACTTGTTTCTGTAGTACTGTAACTCTGTTAGACTCTTATTTATGTAGTTTCTTTTGGACCTCTAAAAAATGTTACCTGACAAAAGCTTAAATTAAACCGGGCCTGGACTTTGACTCAAACCAGTCCTTCTTTCCTGTGCTCTGTCTCCAGTTACACTTTCATAACACAAACATTTAACAGTTAAGCCTGATTTATAGTTCTGCGTCCAGTCTACGGCGTAAGCTACGCACGTTTCCACACATTCGTACTTGTGCATTGGTGTCTGCGTTGTTCTGCAATTACACCGCCAAAACGCTAGTTAGCAGTAGCGTTACAGCATCCACTGGGTTGATGTTTGCTGGCCAAGACAGCTAACTTCCAGTTTAGCCCTCTGCTAACTTTAATAGTAATCGTGCAACTCTTGTAGACTGAATGACTTCTTTCGTTGTACTTAATAATTCTGGCCTCATTATACATTTTTACATTGAGCGCATTAAGGGACAAAAATCTCCGCTCTAAACACTGCCATAAAATTATTATATTAATATTATTTTCCACTTTCACTGTGTTAAATCTTTTAACCAACATCAGCCCTCATCATAATTACCAAATTTTTATTTTTATTTTAACCCCTTAAATGCCATTTGTTTACATGATGCCAATGTTTTGATTGATGGAAAAAAACTAAGAATTTTTAAAAAATTGTATACTACATGCAAAGTGGATTTCTTGGGAAGGAATTATCACAGCCTGGTATACGTCCATGATTAGCAGCAGACATTGATTTTTACGCATTTTAATTTTTTGTGTTATGCCAGATTAAAAGAAATAACCACAACATATTGCAAACATTTTCCTGATTTCCACTAGGTGACTTTAACCTGTGCCTGTCTCCATACACATCAAAATTTGCTCTAGAAATAAAGCAAAACTACAAGATCACCATGAATATGAATTTTTATTTTTCTAAATTATATAAACACATCAAAACTTCATAAAGACTTCATATCAAAACTTAATGTAAAAACCGAATCTTTATATCAAAAACTATACATACACAAAACCTTTCAACACCTAAACTTTCAGCAATACCAACAACTTTAGAAAACATATCACACTTCAGAATACTTCAGAATACACAGGCGTGGTGTAGGAATGAGAGGGTGTGTGGATGGAGGGGGGTGTTCAGCTGCAGAATGGGAAGGCATGCCTACAAATGTAAGCGCCACATTCTGTGCAGGTGGTCGAAATGTTTCTTTTTTGTCTGCGCAGCAACAGCACGCCCTCCTCCTCTTGCAGGTGTCTGCAGCCCCACTTGCTTTTGCCTTTTCAGCAATCTGCTGTGATTTCACCATGGCTGCAGCAGCTGGTGTGCGGGGGAGGCGCCCTCTCCTCTGCATCCGGGGATACACCAGCATCCTCCCCAGCTCCTCCAGGAACAGCCTCCTTTTGACACTTTGGTCCCGGCTCCTGACCCTTCCTGGAACCAGGACAAAGGCGTTGAAAGCCGACACATCTATGAGATTATAGAAGAGCGCCATTGGCCACCGATGTTTTCCTCTTGCAGCTGTATGCGTCAACAGCCTGCAAAATAACAAAAGACCAAGGAAAAAATACGTATAAAACGTTGTAAAAATACGACAGAAAAAAAAAAATATTATAAAATGACTAAATACATAAATAGGCATATATTTTAGAAAAGCACACAAATAAATGTGCATATAAAATAAATGTGTGAGTTACTGTTGCTAAAAGCACAAACCTTATCCAGGTTGTCCACAGCTCCTTTGCATCCTGGGCTTCTGGTGCTCCCCTCCACTCACCGCAGGCTCGCGGTGCTCAGCAAAAACACGTTTCTCCCTCGTTTGGGCACATAAGACTCGGCCGTTGTGGTCTGATCTGGGCGCTCGCTCTCTAGTTTGGAGGAGGTGTGGAGGAAGCTCAGGGTTGTTCTTCCTAATTGTTCCAACCAGAGCGAGTTTTTCCTTCAGCAGCTCCTCTGCCAGCGCATGAGAGGTGAAGAAATGGTCTGTGGTGACAGTGCGTCCCTCCAGCCCCACAACTCTCTGTTCCAGTATAGATCTGCATTTTCCATGCATCTGAGGTGGAGACATCACTTGTGACCCAGATTTTTATTCCATATTTGGCAGGTTTACACGACATGTACTGCCTGAATTTGCAGCGGCCACGGAACCCGACCAGCTGCTCGTCCACACAGACGTCCACCCCGGGGTTAAAGAGAAGGGGGAGGCGGTGCAGCCACTTCTCCCAGATGGGCCTGAACGCTGCGAGCTCGTCATCCCGGTAAAGTCCAGGTCGGGTCAAATCTTACATTTGAACTCCAGTTTTGGAAATTGCGGTGGGGCGTTGTGGCCCTGAAGATCGGCCGGCCTGTGTGATCATCCCACAGGCTCCGGGTGGACTCATTGCGGGACTTGTAGACTCCAGCCAGAATCAGAACCCTGATGGACGCCTCCGCATCCGTCGCATCAATGTTAATCCAGTTTTTCTGGGACCTTCTCAGTTTTACCATCTCCTCCGTGAACAGCAGCTGGAATGCGGACTTTGGGTCCTCGATGCGAGCTGTTCCGTAGTGTGTCGGGTCGCCTTGGCAGGCACGTAGCGTCTCGGCGTTAGCGGGTGACAAGTGGAGTCCATTTTTTGATGTCCACATAGGATCGGCTGTCTCCTCTGTGTTATCCAGCTCCTCACTTTGAGTTGAGTCAGATGAGGAATCCGACGTCAGGTGAAACTCCACATCATCTGTGGCGCTCTCGGTTACACTGCCACTCCAGCTCGCCGTCAGTCTGATGGATCAGTAACGTAATCCACAGCTTCGGGGGCCGTGTAGGTTTTCTTCATGTTGTCGGGTGTGAAATGGCGGCACCGAAGAGGCGCATAGCTTTATAACTTTTGCTTCAACCGCACCTGTATAAACGCAAATATTCTAATCCAAAACAAAGGCAGACTTTGTTTTGGATTCTTTGTGTTGCCGCAAGATGCAAGATTTTATTATTGTCTAAGGACTGACTGCTGTGTTTTTGCCTCTACGTAGGTGAGAAATGTTCTAAAGTCTTTGAACCATAGACTGCACAAAAAAAAGTAACCTGCAGGATATTTGTGTGATTTTGTCACCTAAACACCACGTTTGACATTTAGGCCCTACACACATGGCTCTCAGACATCCACACATACTCAGTCATTTTAGATCATTGAGCCATAAAATGCTTTATAACACAGTCAACCTATGTAGTGGCGCCATCTGGTGGAAATTTAATGTTTTCCTTCAAAATGAAAGGATGTTTCGGCACAAGTCATGATTCATGTATTAGTGACGGCTCGAGCCGTAAACGACATTTTAATGGGTTTAAATGTCCTTATTGTTTTGTCCTTATTGCACAGACGTCGATATTTGATCTACACAGTGTGTTATTCCTATTCTGCAACATGGGATCAAAATTTTAAAAAAAGTTTTCGATAAGGAACAAAAATGTCCTAATGCAGCATTAAATCAGCAATGAATTTAAATACAAGTAACAACAGATCCAAAACGCCAGCGATTAAATGAAACAATATTTTCTCCTTGAAATAGATAATTATGGATTTTAACCCAACCTGGAAAAAAAACACGTATAAAGTAGAAACAGTCTGTTTTATTGAGGACTTCTCCTCTAGCAGCAAACATGTGAAGACAACGGGACGCTGACAGCATGAATACAACATGTTTGCTCAGACTCTTTAAGGATCGTCGGGTGAAGACATTCACTTCTGCAGCTGCCAGTTTTCTGTCCAGGATTTATTTAAGTTTAAAATCATGGAGGGTAGTGACATCACTTCCTGTGGGCGGGGCAATCTCAGCTGTTTTCTCACTCTCTTTACTGCAACATGAGTACTTCTACTGCAACAATGCTGCTGATAATACTCACATACTTTTACTGTCGGAAGGTTTGAATGCAGGACTTTTACTTGTGGAGTATTTGTACTTCTACTGCAGTAAAGGATCTCTCTCTGACCCATGTGACTGTGGACATCAGAGAATATTGTATTTGGTTTCTTTTGCTCACTGAAATAAAGGCTTTTGTAGACAGGGCTGGGCGATACGGCCAAAAATGTTATCACGGTAAAAACATTTCACATCATTCGATATCGATAATTATCAGAATATCAAACCGTTTTTTCGTTCAAGTTTAAAAGCTGATTTTTGCCCCTGACTGAAAACTGAAGAAACCAGATGGTTCATTATGTGGTTAAATTTTTCTTTAATGGGACAAACACTTGATGCCAAACAGAGGATCACTTCACAAATCTGAGGCAGAACAGTCAAAACTAGTATGATAATTATTTTTAAACAAATCTGATGAGTAAATCTTTTTTCCTCAACAAAATAAATTATGTGATAATTTCTTTGTGATTCATATGAATTAAACCAAATATTTATTGAACATGTGTTATTTTATTTTTTATTGCCCAGCCCTCTTTGTAGATCTGTCAAAG